TTTTACGTAACGCTCCTTTATCCTGTGTTCTTAATTAAATATGAATTATATGGTTCGCGTTTATTTCACCCTTATCCCACCTGCCTCATATGACTTGATTTGGCTGCGGTGTTTGCAACTTTGGTTAAGCAGTAAACGGTCTTCTTTAGAAGCATATCCTACACATCAAATATAGTTCGTTGGGAAAAATAGGGTTTCATGTTTTAATTCCTCGAACCGTGACTACAAAAAAAGATTTTGGTACTTAAACTTCGTTCCAAACATTGCAAGTAACGATCAATTTTTTTAATAGCTCGTGGAAAGAGTGCAAACGCACCCCAGGCTCAAATTTTTATGTTTGTAATCCAGGATTACACATTTTGATAATATCACCGAAACATTAGATTTGTGCAATACAGAATGTTTTAGAACAATTTCTTTTTGTAATGTTTTACAGTTCGACAAAAAAATTGTAAATCCCAAGAAAAAATGTCAGTATTAATTGTGAATGCCTATTTTAGGGAAAGAGCCCCTACTTCCATAAATGTTTATATGATATTATATTTTAGATAATTTTTCTACTCTTTACTCTAAAATAAATAATTATGAATCGATCAAGTGCGTTAAAGTGTTAGTTTTGGATGTCATCTTCGTTACATTCGGCCGCGAACCCCTTCTGACCTTACCGGCCCTTCAATCACGGGTTTGGAAGCGATCGGATATGTTTTTTTAGATTTTAGTTAGATTTTAGCGACGGATTGTATTTTGTCGTTTTGTAGTTCTTTTGGCCACTTCAGTCGTCACTCAGTGCTCTGCTGTTTTACAAAAATTTAAGAAACGTTTTATGCAACACGTTGATGATATTCTTCAGTCTTTCGCTTAACAAACAAATACTCGCTCGGCTCGTGCCAAAACCAACTCGCTAAAGTATGCTTTATTAAACTTGTTCCATAATAGACTTGTATACATATAATGCATACTGTTATTAATTAGACGTTTTTGTAGGGACTGGTCCGACATTCAGATGTGGGGGTAGCATAATAAACAAAAACTATATATTGACAGCTGCCCATTGCATAACAAATTTAAAGGACAAATTGTAAATTTTTACATCATTCTGAAATTAAAAGGTTATAGATTTCATATTTTAGGTTTGGCATCAGAGTTGGAGAACATAGTATTCGTAATTCAACAGACTGCGAATTGCAACCAAACAATTCTATTAAATGTGCACCCCCTGTACAAGATTTAGATATCGAGGAAGTGATTCCGCACCCGTCTTACAACGCTGCCAGTTTTACGAATGATATCGGTCTTCTCAGAGTTTCTTCAATGAACTTCGGCGTAGGTAGGTTCATATGCAGGTGCGATTTATGCGGTACAAAATACACTAACCAAAAATCTGCTAAATAAACGAAATCGCGGTAATTAAATAAATACTGAATAGTCGTGAAATCAATCAACTATTCTTGATAGCGAATTACACGAAAACACAGTTACTAATTGCAATTGTAGTTATTGTTTACACATATCGCCACTAGATAATAAAACTTCAAGAATTTTTGTTGGCCCAGTGATCTAGATGAATTGATGCGAAGTGGACTGCATATTTTTAACTATTTATTTTGAAATAAAATACAAATGTATTCGGAAGAAAGGCAGGCGTATTGTTATTCGTACGTCAGACGGCGGTCAGTCTGGTCGTTTCTGGCTTTCTCTATTCCTGTGTGCCAACTGGTGTTGTTGCCAAATGTAAATACATACAAAAGTGGGTAAATTAATATCCTCCAAATAAAATAGCAAGCTCTTTGTCCAATGCAATGTTTAATTTTTTATTGATCTCTTTTATCTGATTTCAAATACAGTAGCAGCCCTTAACTTTGGGAACTCATTCAATGAGAAAGGAACGTTATGTGAATCTTGGTTAATTGGAGTCCATTTGGATGTCAGGCCAAACTAATTTGTCCATATGAGAAATAATGACATGTTCAAAAACTAATTAAAACGTTTAGTTTAGTGCTTAATGGTTCCTTTTTTTTTCTGTCTTGACCTAGGACACACTAGAGTGGTCAGAAGTCTGGTTTGGTCAGTAATTTGTATAAAGTATGCAAAACATTAAACAACATCATTATTAAACATTATACAATTATTAACATTATTAAACATTATACAAAAATAAAACTTCAATATGTTGTTGTAAATGATAAAAGTTGCCTTTGGTAGTTTCGGAAATATGATGAGAAAATCAAAATTTTCGTTATTCCTGAAAAGTAAGATGATGTGTGCTATTAATTTGTTATATTGTTCCAGAAAATGTAAGGCCAATTTGTTTACCCCTAGGAAGTCAAAGAAACCCCAATTTTAAGAACGTTGTGGTTACTGGATGGGGCATAACTGGAAACGGTAAGTTTGATACATATTTAGCAGTATTTTGTTTGATAAAGGGAAAAAATAATTAAATACGCTAACTCTCTGAAATTTAGTCTTTTCTTAAGCTATGTAGATTAAAGCTTTAGGACCATCATCCCAACCGACGGTAAAAAATTGAGAAATAATATAAACCTCTTAGTACAGTTATTTGAAAGTCATGTTTATGACAAAGAAAACCATCTACCATTACTACTCATCTCACTCTAAATAATATTTGCCTCACAAAATCAATATTTGCTACATTACCGGAACAAGTCCAGTTTAGATCGGGTTCACTAAGGGTGAGTAGTTCGGTGTAATGAAAGACACAGTAAATCAAGATTTTTTAGTTTTGAATAAAGTTGCCTTATAGGGCGAGACGAAATAAATATATTTCTGATATTTGTGATTGCAAAATATAGTTATTAAACAGGTATTAAACTTGTTTTCGGCAGTTTTGGAAATCTCAAATTCTCTTTTTTTTTTGTATAATGTCAACATTGTTTTGTAACACATAGATTCATGCTCATACGATATTTATAAAGAAATAGAAATTCGAAATTTTATTTGAATTAAGAGTGATTGGAACATGTCGCGTATGTGTGTTGACAGACCCTTCCCTAAAAAGTAATTGCAACCATCATACCCATTGTTACTCGATAAACCTAAGAACCAATAATTTATTCATAGGAAAGTGACAAGACAGGAACGCGTCAGATAGATGTTGCCCACTGCTCCGTTTTAACAACCGTTTCGAAAAATCTTCTTGCGTTTCCGTTTCCTTACAATAGACAAAAAACAAGTGGCAATGGAATCACACAAATTGTACACTTGTAGATTTAAGTACCTTCAGGAAAATAAAAAGTTAGCTCTGAAAACAGATGCTTACTTAGACACAGATACAACGTCTTCGTCTATGTTATTGTATTTTCGATCTCATAGAACATTTGTGGCACCAAATAATATCAAATATGAGAGCATAAAATGTTACTCGTCTTCTTTAAATCCAAGTGCGATAAATTTAATTAAAAATGTCATTAATATTATACCTGTTGAGAGCTTAATCTTTATCTTTTTCAAGCACCTGATACAATACCGAGTGGTTAAGTGGTTTATTGCCATCACCGTTTCATATTTATATAAATAAATAAAATAAATTGTTGTACATGTTAAGAGAATACGCTAAAATGTTCGTTTACGTTATCTGTGTATCTATAATGCTGCAATCAGATGTTGTTTTAAAAAAAATATTTTTAGGGACATCTAGTGACATTTTACAGAAAGTAGAACTTCCTATTGCGGATAAAACGAAATGTGCCGCAGTGTATTCCAATTACAATATCAAGCTAAATGTAAGGCAGGTTTGTGCTGGTGGAGTAAAGAATAAAGATTCTTGCCCGGGAGATAGCGGTGGTCCAATGCAGATTGCTGCTTGGGTCGATGGAGAATCGAAATACATACAGCAGGTATTTAACCAAATTTAGTTATACAAAGTATAATCATTTTTAACCTTTTTTTTTCTTAATTTTCTGGTTCGTCATTTTATTGCGTATTTTTTTCATCCACAGGGAATTGTTTCATTTGGTCCACGATATTGCGGACTGCCTGGTTATCCAGGAGTTTATACACTAATACCCTATTATATGGATTGGTTACTAGATACTATGAGACCTTAAGGTAGTAATGTGTGTAAAAACATATCCCAAAGACTGGTATTATTTCGAATTTGTAGATACTATACTTAGTATTTATAAAGGCGTCTACTCAATTTTATGTACTGTGATTTAATAAAATATATATTAAGCGTTGTTTAGTTCAATATATAATGTGTACAAGTTATTACCATTGTGCTGTTTTAGAAAAAACAACATTATATTTACTGTTAGTTTGTTCCTTTATTTTAAACTTTTTTGTGACATAATATATCAGGAACAAATAAATGATTCGCCTTCCCTGCTCTTTCATTTCTTTATAACTTTTTTGCTTAACGGTGTATTATACTTACTTTATTCCAAAAATGTCAATATCGTAGTTTCTAATCGCCGTTATCTTAACACATTCTTACAGACTTACAGCACTAAAAGACGGACGTGCGATTCTCTTGTCGTGGATCAGATTTTAGGAAGTTTTTTTTTAAGTTTGAGTCTTAATAATAAATAAATAATATATTGTGAGTGAACCGTCATTGCGTAAATTTCATTACTCACTCCCATATAGCTGGGAGATATACGTTGAAGTCAACATTAAAAAAATGTTGAGAAGGGACATTCATTATGAGCATGCACAAGTCATTTCAAATCAAACTTTCTCTTAATATGACAATTAACATTACCGCTGAGAATTTGTCAATTTAACATTTTCAATTTCTATGAGGCACTTTTTCTGATATATTATTTTTTTATTCAACCGAAAGGATCACTCGGGTCATTAAGATTAAAACTTGTCTTGGAAAGTCATTGCACTCCACCTGAAGAAACTGGATGTACTGCCAATAACTGTACTATTTTCGCCATCGACAAGTTGCACACGTTCATGGTCACCGATCTTAGATCAAGGGCCCTTCATAAACGTTATCTGAACAAACCTGCGTGCTATTCTGCAATGCGGTTTATGTTGCTCATGTGTGTTTTTTGTCATATTGGTAAGATATTCGTAATTTTTTCTGTTTTTTACATACACAAGCAAATATTTAAATTACTTGTTTATCCCCACAAAGAATGTATTAAGAAACCTCCGATGAATACAAACATTGAAGACGTATTTTCAGAAGATTGCGGATTTTTGAACACTGGAAATAAAATCACTGGTAAGTTGAAGGTAATTCCATTTTGGTTAGTTTTGGTGGTTTGGTTGCTTCCGTTTGGTAAAAATACAGCCACAATTCAAACAAAATGAAAGCGGTGAGATTTTACGGTAAACTTATAAACCATTAAGGAGTAGGCTAAATGGTTGTATATTTTGTTACCAAAAAGTATAAAAATTAAATTAGTAACCAAGTTGTTACATTTTCATATTTGCTTCCTAGTACATTGATTTTCAATTTTACAAAAAACATTATACAAAACTTTTATAGTTCGAAATGAGCTTTTTCGTAATCCGCTGTTATCTACAGGGTATCCCAATTTTTATTTTAAGACTATTCCAATTTTAATTTTTTTTTATAAAACAAATAACACTACGAATAGAAACACAAATTTAGGGTGGTATATTTAGTATTTCAATGTGTGTAGTAGTAGTTCAAAATAGGTACACCCTGTAAACAAAACAAGTGAACTCTGAAGTATTTCATTTGAAAGTCAGAACTTTTATAAAACTTTTTCGTGCAAAGTTGCCATCGCTAATAATATAATTTGGTTAGCTTCTAACTCGTTGATGGTTTAGAATTGTACGCGAAGATAATTAATATTTCGCAATTGCAGTTTGACTTTTTTAACGCAATGTTTGGTTCAATATTTAAAAAAAAATGTTTTTTCGCTCATTTTGTTTGGATTCTGGTTCTCTACAATTCTAGTAGTTGAAAAACATTGAAAATATGAAAATTTAATTGAATAAGAAAAATATTGTCAATTTTCTGATATAACTGGAAATACTCCGTATAGGTACATTTAAAAACAAAAATTACTTTTATTAAAACTTTCAGGCGGCAACGAAGCTGATTTAGGTCAACTACCATGGATGGCACTTTTAGGATATAAACGTTAGTCCGCAAAAGGTGATGAGGTGGATTTCAGAACATAGTAGACGAATTTTGCTATCTTTTAAATACATGTAAAGATAGATGCGGAATTTTGTTCGTAACGAGAAAATAAAAACGAAAATTAATTAACAGACAATCTGTAAGAACAGCATTTACATGACCTCTTGACCTCATAATACAATACGATATAGATACATTCTTTGTAATCCCCACAGTTATTGAGAAATGTGATCCAAGAAGGTTAGATTTTAAGATCAGCCGAGCTGTGAGCTTGATTATTATTATTAGTATAATTACTATTAAGTTTTCAAGTTATAAATGTGCCTTTTAAATGAAAATAACCAAAGAATTCTTCATTTCAAATTAGTCCTTTGATTTTAAAGAACTTGCTAACGTTTCGCCAATCATCTTGTTGGCTTCTTCAGAGCTTAACTGAAACGGTGCTCTGCGCCTGCTTATATATTTTTTGGGGGGCGGAGCTAAATGAGGGGCATAAACATTGTCTCTGATGACTGATTCCTATATTGGTGACCGGTAAAGACCTGAGTGACGGTTAAAATTATTAGGTTGCAACCTAACTCAGGTCTTTACCTTTCACCAAAATAAGAATCAGAAGCGGTGGAATACAGAAGTTTTGTAAATGGCCTATAAAATTCATTTTGTAAAATATTTTTAATATGTTTCTCAACTCAAACACAATAATTTGTCTATTTAAAAGGATAGCATAAGACATGAAAGAGACTACCAAAGATTCTGAAATCTGCAATATTTCTATAATTATAATTCGCCGTTTTTAGAAAAGGACATAAATATAACAGAATTTCTTTGTGGTGGTACCCTTATTACGAAACGGAATGTATTAACCGCAGCTCATTGTTTTCTAGGTTCCCAAAACTACCATAAGCCGTAAGTTTTGTACAGTTTAAGTTATGTAAAATATGGATAACAAATTTTTGAGATATCTTTGAAGAAACCTCTCGTTAAGTGACCCATCCAGATTGATTTCAGTGTATCATGTACATTTAACATTTTAGGGAGGTCTATTTTAATCAAAACTAAATAAATAAATCCAAAGTTAAATAAATAGGTTGCGATAAGTATATTAGGTATTATCCTATTAACCAATCCAAATCTGATATATATAATAAACGCAAAGAACACCTGAGAATGCATTGACCAGTTGCCAAGCATAAACAAAAGATTGCGAATTCTGAATTTGTTCTTTATCTGTGAAAACTGAGGTTAGGATCAACAGTTTTATTCCAAGCGCTAATCAACGCAAATGCATTTTGACTAAAACAACCAGAATTTATTATATTTTTTATGTTAAAATTAGTTCAAGAGAAATAATATTGGATTTTTGATTGTTAGATTTGAAAAAGAAATCTAAAATTAAAGAAAGTTCAGTGGCTTAAATTTTTTTGTCCAATGAGTGCGAAGAAGCCTGGCAGAATACCACTTGAAATTAAGCTGCCAATTGTCAATAAAATTGGATACATTTAATTTTATTCCTGTTTTCCGATGCAGGGTGATTTTGAATGTTGGTGTTTATAAATGCAAAATTTGTAATATCACCCTATATTATTATATTTATTGGGTCAGAAAAGCTACAACACGCTAGCTTTATTAATAGGGGAGATCCGCAGTAATATCATCAAATATGGGCTTTTTTCGTTGATATTACGGGATATAGTCTAAATGGTAAGAGATAAAATCGAAATAAGTATTCGGCTGTCTTTTTTCGTGTTTAGTGGGTTAGAAGGTACAGGCTACTTTTAAAATTTTTTAATAAACAGTATTATTTAACAAACGATGTTAGGAAACACCCCGTATATACAGGCTGGAACGCTAATGACTTCTTAGGTCTTCTTTTAAAGAACGCTAACAACCCATAAATAATAACTTTTTAGATTGATTGTTAGATTGGGAGAACACAATTTAAATACCGATATAGACTGTATAATAATAGCAAAAACCAAAATATGTGCTGATCGCCACATAGACGTACCAATAGCTGCTTATTTTACTCACCCTGAGTATGATTCAAACACGTTAATAAATGATATCGGCTTAGTCAAAATGCAGTACTCAGTCGAATTTACTGGTACGTCTTATTGGTTTTATTTTAATAAGCTTATTCAACTGTAATATTGATTTAGAATACATTCACCCGATTTGCCTCCCGCTGCAAAGTGACTTAAAACGATTGTATGAACCTGGACAACAATTTTTCGTATCGGGCTGGGGTAAGATAAGTTCGAGTAAGTGAACCCCTTTTCGTACAATATTAGCAACGATAAAATCAGTTGGTCTCCATTGGCGCGCCAAAACATTGCCGATTTCCCTATTCTTCCTTACTCTTGAAGCTCTTTTGTTTATTATGGTTGATTCGAAACGGGATTGTATATATTATGCAATGCGTGCTTTTGCTTATTAAAGTGGTATGCCTAAATGTCTACAACATTAAATAAGAAATCGGAAGATCATTTTTTCGATGCAAGAATAAAAAGGCGGATAACAATTGTCGATTTGCACTTGTCTTAAAAATATGTTTTTTCCAATATTCTTGCGACTTTGTGCAAAAGAAGTGAGAATATTTTTTTAAATGAAAGTTCGTAATTATGATATTAAATTTCGAATTACAGCAAAAATACATAACATACAAAAAAAGAAGAAAAATTCATTGTTCATTCAGTGTGCTAGATAGAACGGGACATTATTTAATCAGGTAAAATATCTCCGGATTGGAATTGATCACCGGTCATTTTTTACTGTTTGATTTAAGGGCAAAACTCAACTGTCTCTTTTTAACTTTGCCAATTTTCGGTGCCCTGGTGTGCCAGAAAATTACTTAAGATCACCGTTTTTTAGGGAAATTAGGTGGTTCAATGACGCTTCAAATAGCGGGTATTTTTCTGTGGAACCAAACGAAATGCCACGAAATTATTCCAAAGTATAGTGGCAAATTCTTAGAAAGTCAACTATGTGCAAATGGTAAGAAAGTGGGCGTACCGTTTGTATTCGTATGGGAGTTTTCATTTTACACAACCAAAACAGGATCCTGAATAACTTAACGAACTACGGCAAAAGTCGACACAGGGTTTGTTAGCTAGGAATAAAATTTCTCTAATTTTTTGAGTTTATAAAAATTCGGAATACCAACGGAAATTTAACGAAAAACTTTGTATTCCTGGTTTCAATACCAACATATCAGTTCTTCCGCTATATCGATCTAATCTAATCTGCCCTACAATGTTGTTGCAGGTGAAAACCAAGATGCATGCAAAGGCGACAGTGGAGGACCCATGTTTGCTATCACTACTGATTCAGCGTTGGAACTAAAATATTTTCAGATAGGAATCGTATCATTTGCACCATCGTTAAGTTGCGGTACAGCAGATCTACCTTCTATCTATACAAGGGTGGACAGTTTTCTGAAATGGATTCTGGAGATTGTTAGCTCCAATTGAATTGGTCAATTAAATATTAGATAGCATATTGTATTATTATTAATCCTCCACTTATCTCCCAATTACAAGGGCCCATTTTTTAATTTTAAATTTCTACCTTGGGTCAGCATCCAATTAATATCAAAAATATTAAATCGCAGAGCAAGTAGAATCTTATATACAATTTTTAATAATTAGTAAAATAGGAATGAGAAAATCTTGGGACGCAATTGATAGGGTTCAATAATATAATTGGGATATATGATAAATTCTGCATAAATTAATCTGAGACCATCCGTTCATTTGTTGAACTTCTAACTGAACTAAGTTCTTCTAAAAAATCTCCAAGGCTGTAGGATTCCTTTTTGTAAATATGTTTTTAATTTAAATAACAAGTAAACTGTACATGATGACAAAAGAACTATTATCTATTTTCTCCGTTCTTTAATGTATCCTACATATATGCAGGCTTCATCAACTGGTCATATGTTGACTTCGTCACTGACGGAATTTTTTTTGCTTCTGCTTGGTGTTTCCGATTCCTTACTTTCTCTGTTAGTTTCCTCCAGTCTGTTAAAAATTGTTTGAATTGCCTCGTCTTTCGTTTCAGTTAGGCGTTTGATGTCAGAAAGATCACTAAAACTTCGATTAAGATGCTTTCTATCAGACGTGTCAAAATTCCTGCGGAGCACAATTTTAGTTTTGGGAAGTTTTAACTAAAAATAAAATTCATAGCATTATGAAACAGAACCAATGTTACTTCGAGAACCAAGCATACTTCAGATTGTCTTTCAAACAGCGTGGGTTGTTGATTAACTCTTCCGAGCATCAATTGCATTCTAGTTTTATGTTCCTCATTCCTAAATCGGTCTTCGTCTCTTCTTAGCTGCAATCTCAGGGCCAAATCTTCCTCATGATTATAAGCTAGTGCTTGAAAAACCGGTTTCTTCCTCATTATTTTTTCTCTCCATCGGGCCTCCTCTTTTAGCTTTGCCTCTTCCAACTTTTTCGTCATTTCCATTTCTAAACGGTTTCTAAAATTTAATTTTTAGTCTACTATATTTTTGAGACTATTCTCAAAGATGACAGTTGTTTTGAATTAACTACTTTTTAATACCTCGCCGATTGTATTCTTAATACTGCAGCTAAATTTGACCTGTTTACCGAAGAAAGGTCTAATGAAGATGGTGTTCTGATGTCGTAGTAACTGCTTCTACTACTAGCAGATGAATGTCTATGAGAATGTCTCTTACTCTGTAAATAATGTATTCTGGTTATGTCGAATTAAGTCCTATTTAAATCAATTAATAATTCCATAAATGCGTTTTGACACCTGAGTAATAAAGAAATTAACCATTAAGGTCAGGGCACACAAGTTGATTGGATATGTTTCGAGCCACACTATCAGATCTTGTCGGAATATGCTCTGCACCATATTTTTTAACATTGCACAACGAAGCTGGTTGAATTTATTTTTACTTTTTTTTGGGTTTGCCCTAACGTCAATGGTCTATTACATAGGATGAAGATGGAAAAACTGATAGCCACGAAATAATTCAACTTTGACCAAAATTGTTACATTTCTGAGTGGTCATTATTTACTTTAACCATATTCTTCCCCTTGCAAATAAAATATCCTGTGTAGGAATTTTTTTTCCACCCCCTTCTGTAAAATACCCAATTATACACTGATCCTACGTGCGGAAAGTATCATTTTACCGCGCCAGTTCCGTTTCCCACCGATGTTACGGAACTATAACACGCCACCGCCACTAGGATTATGAAACTAGGTGTGGAAGGAAGAGATAGTTTCCGACTTTTTGCTACCTAATATGAATATCGCTTTTTATCTGTATCACTTTTTAACTACATAGCATTTTCTCGTACTTTATCTCTTAATAAAGGTGCACTACTGCATTTTTTCCAAATTCTATCAGTATATGGGGACGAGTCTGTAATATTACTGTTATTTATTATCTTGCACCATATTTTATCTTAACTAATGCAACTTAATATCTTAGGTGTTCCCTATATAACGTTGAAATAATGGTATTCTCCGTCTTGTAGTTTTTGTTACCAGCTTTCGTAATTGAATAAATCACGAATTGATCACTTTTCAGTTTGATAGAGTTATAACAAAAACAGAACAAACAACGAAGTTTGAAACGAAGAACGTAACCGACGCAGTGAGTAGGATAGTCGCCTATGAGAAGTGAACATAGTGGATAGTGTTTACACGCACTGGTAATTCTCAAATCTCTCGGAACCGAATTCCCTTGTCAAGTCACACATCATTCAGAGGACTGTATATCCCCAGCTTAGCTAGAGGACCATATATCCCTGGAACGCCACAATCGAAAGAAAATACCAAAATCAAAGGTTAGTCAATTTTTCTCATTTTCCTTTGTATTAAATTAACAAAGCATTGGGTTGCGTCTATCCTTAGATATTATTCCAATTTTTGATGGTGATCCATGTGAACTTACGAAGAAGTAAATGTGAATTCCGATAAAAAAAATATTTTTAGAGCTATTATTGGAAAGCTTCGTGGCAAAGTCTTAAATATTAGGATCAAGTAGAATTCAGTTAACTAATTGGAAAAGAATTAGTCAAAATGTGGAGCTAAGTTTCACAGATCAACGGTCATTTACATGTCTTTTACATAAACTACATAGTATGAAACCAAATCTTAAAGAATCTCTTCATACTTTTCGCGTTCCATGTCAATGTACAAGAAGTTTAATATTTAATATAAATAATGGTTCTACAATGTCTCAGAGTGAGAAAATTGCACAAATTATATTGAAAAATTAATTTTGGCCTTATTCCTAAAATATTTTCCACCAAATATCCAAACAGGAGTTAAACTTAAAAATCCAAGTTGTTTAGAAAGTGGAAAGCAATTTATAAGTAAAGAAGAAAATTTCTATCTTTGTTTAACGAATCCAAATGAAATTAATTTCAACACATCCCCTCCACAACTTTAAAACACCCATGGCTCAAGGAGAAATTTCAATGCAACGAAATCTCTACATCTACTTCAAATTATTTTGTTCAGCAAATACACTCTAAAAAAGGATCACCTAATTTTTGAAATCAACCATTTCCTAGCGGACCGATTTCAATTCTCCAAGACAAATTCCTCAAAGGAAATTCTTTATAAATTGACAAGTCTTTGGGAAACAACGAACTTTTAATATTAACTAACCAAAACTAACTTGATAAGTATTTAAAGACAAACCAACACTCGCGTCGAAAGTATCTAGACAGTCAATTATTCAAAGGAATACTTTCCTATCGCAACAAAATTCCCAAAGGAATACTTTCGAATCACAACAAAATTTCTAAAGGAATAGTTTTCAATCAGAACCCTATTTTCCAAGGAACGGTTTGAAAACCACAATCGAGACCAACATTTCAAGTTGAAGAATTATATCAAACAGCGGGACTTTTCTCATAGCAACAATATTTCGAAACCAATAATAAATTTTCGAACCCAATTTTTGGAACGCCATAATACATCCGAAAATTGCCCAATTATTCAAAATGAAACAACAGAATCTTATTTCAAGGGCACCAATCAACCAAATGAAATATTTTATATACCAACCTCTATAACAGAAATCGCTCATTGATTCTGGCAGTCATAATTCTTTGACAGTATGTTTAGCAAAAAATATTTCCCTAACTAAATCCGATATTCTAAAAACATCTTGTGGGCTAAATGCCCTAAATATGAAATAATGTTATTGTTTCTGTACAACATTGTTCACCTATGGACTATAACTGTTAAAACATTACATTAAATGAACACGAAGTATTAAGGAATAAAATACCTACTAATAAAAATACTGACAGAACTTACTATAAACCGCATGTCAAGATTAATGACCATTGTTTCACAGCGGAGTCATTTGTAAAGGGCGGACAAGCCATTGTTGAAATACATAATGTCAGTATCGAAGATACATACGTTAACCTAAAATATTCATTAGAAGTATTCCCAATAGATGATTATGAAATATGCGAAGCAGAAGTACTTAATACTGAACCACATATTGAACAGCGGGAAATTGTAAGTTTATTAAGAATAAATAACTTGGATGAAGAAGAGAAAACAAGCTTAACTAAACTTTATAACAAATATTATACGATATTTCAACAGCCCAACTAACTAGCCAAAACTAAAGTCAACACATACTGAACGCGTAACACGCACAAGTGAAGAAGAACCCGTATATGCTAAATCTTGCAGATTTCCAGAAGTACTCAAAGAAGAAGTCGGATATGAAAAATTCTTGAAGACGGAATTATAAGAGTCCATGGTCAAGCCCAATAAGGATTGTACTCAAAAGAGTGATGCAAGTGGACCTAGGAAGTGGAGAATTGTGGTTATATATAGTAGATATAAGGAAGTTGAATAATAAGACTGTTTTGAACAAAAATTTAGTTCGAGAAAAATTAAGAGAAACGTGTACGCAGAATTCACTTACCCCTGAACGTGGTAACGATCGGCACAATCCAGCAAAAACGCGGTAGCAGTTAACGCGCACACTTGTAGCTTCAGAGCGAGATAGAGTAGTCAAGAGAACGACAACTACTAAGTCATTTTGATAAGCGCGCGACTCGCGAGACCAAAGGGGACTTATCCCAGTCTATGAGTACCGCGCATAGGCAATAATACTTAAATACTATTATTCGAGCAAAAAAATATAAATTTAATATATCAAAATTAAATTGCAACTAAACTTAATCTAATAATAATATATGTGCGCGGTTGTAACAAAGGCAATCAACAGATCACAATATTTTACAATATTAGATCCTGCAAACGAATTCCACCAACTCCACCAGTATTTAGAAAACAGCGTTTTCTACAGACTAGGGGCATTATGAATTATGAAGGAATCCATTTGGCTTGCGAAATGCTCCAGCGATATTCCAGAAGATGATCAATGAAGTTTTAAAAGGACTAATTAATAAAATTTGTGTCGTATATATGGACTACGTGATTATCTTCTCCATATTCGTAATTTAAAGTATTTGACACACAGTCTAAAAGTGCGATTAGACAATTGCGAATTTATGAACAAAGAAATTGAATTTCTGGGACACATTACCTGAACAGAGTTTTTTCAATAATACAAGCGTTTCCTCAATCATTTAATATTTATTGAATTTTCGTTTTCTATAAATGGACTATATCTCACTTTGCGGCGACGTCGCGATCAATGCCGTGAACGTCTCCCCTGTAACGCTTCAAAATTGTTACTGGTCTAGCAAAAACGTAGACCTTGCCGGTTTGGCGTGCAACGCCCTGTTGTTGAAATGTCCGGCATGTTTAAGATAAACAAAATTAAAAAGCAATTTACATAATTTTGAAGTCAACATACCCCCAGCCTTGAAAGAACCCTCTTTCTAAAAAAACAACAAAACAAACATTTTTTGAAAATCAATTTGTCTTAGACAACCTTTGAAACCACTTGAACTGAGTTTTTTTTTTCACCCACTTTCGTGAAACAATGGACACAATTTTGCGAATGAACGTTTGATGACACCTTCACTCGTTTTTACATCAGCCACTCGACTAATGTTGTCCTTTCCTGGGTATAACTGAACGATGCGTCCCATTTTCCAACACAAGGGAAGCACATTTTCTTCTTTCACGATCACCAATGTCCCTTCCAGCAGAGTGTCCCCGCCAGCCTTCCATCTGACGCACCTCTGAAGTTCAGCGATGTATTCCTGTGACCAACAAGACCAAAAATCTTGATGGTATTGTTGAATATGTTGATAGCTAGCAAGCCTATTTTCAGGTTGCTCGAGCAATCGTGGGTCCGGTAATGAGGTTGCCCTTCTTCCGATCAGGAAATGGGATGGGGTTAAAACGTCCAAGTCAGAAGGATCAGATGACATTGGAGTGAGAGGACGTGATTTTAAAATGGCCTCTATTTGACACAACAAGTGGAAAAGTCCTCATATGTCAAATTTGCCTTGCCCACAGCTCTTTTTAAATGGTATTTAACACTTTTTACCCCTGACTCCCATAAACCCCCGAAATGAGGCGAATATGCCTGAATAAAAGACCAATTAACACCTTCTGTCGCAATCAATGTCTTTAAAATGACATGATTATTACGCAAAAATTTTGTCTGACAACATTTTTTCTGGTTTGCCCCTCCTAGACACGAATCTCCTGAAAGTTGCAACAAATGGTTGCGTAGACAGACTTGTTACAGCCTCTAAATGTATTGCACGTGTGCAAAAACAAATAAATAAACCAACATACCCCTTGTACAAACGCGTGCCCCGTCCCAGAGCTATTTTAAAATTGAACGGCCCTGAATAATCAACCCCTGTGGTATTGAATGGAAATTGTGGGATCACTCGTGACTTAGGTAGATCTCCCAGCTGTATTTCAAAGGACCTAGGTTGAACCTTCGAACACACAACACATTCATGCACCACCCTTCTCATTTCTGCCCTTTAGTGGCCAATAATTTTCCCTTAATGAACTGAGAACTAATTGAGGGCCTGCATGCAGTAGTCTCAAATGCTCTGCCTTAACAATCAATTTTGGACATGGATGTTTTGGGTCTAACACAATTGGGAATTTTTTGTCAAATTTAAATTCTGAAAGCGCTAGTCTTCCGGCTACTCTGATTAATCCGTCGGCATCTAGAAACGGATTTAAATTTGACAAGCAACCCTTTTTTATCTTCTCACCGGTCTCCAAGATTTTCTTCTCATTTACGAAACATTCATCTTGTGATAACTTTATTAACATTCCTTTCTCTGTCAAATTCTTTGATTCGGGACTATCCAATTTTCTGCAACGTGCTGTAAACCTTAAGCAATATGCAAATACACGTTTCAATTTTGTCCAACTGGAATATCTGGAAAAAATCTCTAAAATACTCTTCTCTGAATTCAAAAAGGCTTTTACTCGCTTCCTCCTTTCTGGAAGTTCCTCTAAAGGGACATCTACAGCCTGATTTGGAAAGAAATCTTGTGGCAACCATTGTGGACCTTCAAACCATAATTTATTTCCACACAATTTGGAAGGAAAAAGTTCCCGGGATACTAAGTCTGCGGGGTTTTCTTCTGACCGCACATAATGCCAATTGTCTTGATCCGTCATAGACTGAATTTGCGATACTCTATTTGCGACAAAAGCTTGGATTTGATTTGCTGGTGATTTTATCCAACTTAATGTTACTGTAGAATCGCTCCACAAAAACAGTTTCCTGAAATTTAACGTCATGGAAGTTTGTACTTCTTTTATCAACCTTGAAAGTAATAATGCACCCGACAATTCCAATTTCGGTATAGTTAGTGCCTTTATCCGGGCAACTTTACTTTTTGCACACAATAAGCGAACGACTACACTTCCATCCTTCTTGACATTTCTGACATAGATACATGCTCCAAACGCTTCTTGTGCAGCATCACAAAATCCATGAAGTTCGATGTTCTCTGAATTGTTGCTACCTACATGTCTTGCATGTTTAATTTCACCATTTCTTGCTTAAATTGTTCCCACTCTTGGGCAATATTGTTCGGTACTTCATCGTCCCAATCCAACTTGAGAATCCACAATCATTGTAAAATAATCTTGGGAATGACGACACATGGGCTAACTAACCCAAGTGGATCGAACAGCTGGGCAATTTCTGACAGAATCTTCCGTTTTGTGGTACTTGAATTACTTGAAAATTCCGTCACCCTGTAGGTAAAGATATCTGCCTGATAGTCCCAATACAATCCCAAAGTTTTGTGTTGATGCTCTCCTAGATTAAGAGTTTATAATTCTGCCTTGGGCCTTACTCCAAATTGTTCCAAGAACTCCTCCTTGTTCGAACTGAACTTTCTGAGCTCAAACCCACCAGATTTTAAAACCTCACAAACACCCTTACATATCTGAAGTGCCTCTTGAATCGAGGAGGCCCCTGATATCAAATTATCAACGTAGAAGTCCTTGCCAATTACCTTTGAAATCTGTGTTTGTTCGCAATTTTTAGTCAGTTCCTGCAAACACCTTACCGCTAAAAATGGACTTGAGGTTAATCCAAACGTCACCGTGTTTAAATTGTAGACCTTGACTTCTTCTGCTGGATTTTCTCTCCACAGTATCCTTTGTAGATGGCGTTGATCTTCCCTAACCCATACTTGTCGGTACATTTTGGCGATATTTGCGCAGAATGCCACTTCATGTTGTCTAAACCTCAACAAAATTGAAATAATATCCTCTTGAATTCTTGGCCCCAAAAATTGCAAATCGTTACGTGACACACCCGAGTCTGATTGTGCAGAGCCGTCATACATTTTCAATGGGATTGCAACAACAAATCGACCATCCTGATCACGTCTTTTTGTTGACACAAAGAAATTTTCACAATCAACTTCATCCCGTGTCATTCCCTCGATTTGACCTCCACCTGGCTCTTCTAGTTCCCAAAACTTGGCCATTTGGTCTTGTACCTCTGTACCAATACTTAGGTTGCACACCGTTTTCTTAGGTTTGACTCGAGATCCTTGTCCACTGATGTACCCCGCTACTACCCATCCTAACCAAGTGTTTTGTAAGAAAGGTTTGTTATGAGTTATAAGTTTCCAGAACACACCTGCACCAATTAACATATCCACTTCATCAGGCAAATGAAATTCACTGTTTGCTAGACAAATATTTCCTGGAATGTTTATTGGTCCTAACTCAATTTCACACAAAGGAATCTCATCACTAATTTTCAGAATGATTAAACAACTGATAGGAATTAGGAAATCACCTTTCTGAGAACTGATTTCTACTTTACACCGTTTCGAAATCTTTTCAGTGTTTTGACCAATCCCAACCACACACACATTCGCATCTTTTGTTTTTAACTGAAGTTTGTCACACATTTTTTCAGTGATAAAATTGCTCATTGAAGCTGAATCTAACAAAACCTTGCTATGATGCAAATTTCCACTCACATCTTTTAATTTGACAATCGTTGTAGAAAGTAACACCTGACCTTGAGTCCCACAATTTCTACTCGATAGCACCACAGAGGTTTTACTTCCTTCCTTTGAAGACGCTTCTACAGCCTTTTGTACGTCAGCAATTGGGGCACTTTCAACACTGCCCTGTTCAGTTTGGCGTTGGTTATAAAAATGTAATAGAACATCATGCCCTAAACCACACGGCGAACATTTTTTCCCTTGACAATTAAAACTAAAATGCTTGTTCGAAAAACAACACATACATAATTTATTTCGTTTTATTTGCGCAATTCTCTGGCTGGTTGTTAACTCCAAAAATTTCTTACACTCACTGATGTCATGACCGCTTTTACAAATAACACACTTGCTTTTTTCAACCCCAGCTACAAAAACCCTTTGTTTTTGCCCGATAAAATTTTCCTTCAATTTTGTCCGGGAATTGTTTTCCAAGGTCTCAAGTGATGCACGCAAATAGTGAAACTTTTGAATGTCGCCAATCGACTTATTCTTGTGAATTAAACTATCAAACGTGTCTCTAAATTCCAACCACTTTGAGTAGTTTCCAGCAAACGTTGGTAAATTTATTAAAGGTAATCGTACACCCATCGTTTCATTCGAATTTGGCCGTAAATTTTCCTGAAAAATGACAGAGTTGGAATCCGAATGCGTAATTTTTTGCAAACACCCATTTTTGTTGTTCGTATCATTAAAATCACCCAAAATATTTTTTGCCTTTGCGACAATATGGTAGAATTCTGTTTGGAAAACTTCCCTCTCATTAAATTGGCTGTCTAAATCTTCACACTTCTTTTTCTGAAGATCTTTCACTTTGCACATTGAAATTTGTTAAATACCTTTTAAATTGAGATAAGCTCGCTTTCTAATTAATTAGTTTAATTGCTCAGCCATTTTGCTGATTTTTGACACATAAAATAGAGACCACAAACTACAAAATCCAACAAAGGTTTGAAAAGGATCGACTTACAGTTTAACGGCGACTTTTTTCCGGCACGTACTGTCTCGTCCTCCGTCGCGTCGCAGCAACGCTGCCCAATCGTACGGCCCCGCACGTACAATTTCCAACGCCGCGCCGCACTCGCCGATAAACTCCACGGCACCGCAACGACGACCTTCAAACAATCCTTTGTGCACCGCGCCGCGCCGCCTTGACTCAGCTGCGCTTTGTTGCTTGCCGACGTTCGTTTACGGACACGTAAACGTTTCCCTCACAATTTTTACACAATTTTCTTTGCGAATACAGATGATCCAACAATCTGTATTTCGCAATTTCCTCGTTTTTCACTTTTGCGGAACACCCAATAATTCTCGCAAGTGAAAACTCTCCATTCAATGGATCACAATCCCGTTCGATGGATGGATGTTTTTTCAATAATACAAGCGTTTTCTCAATCACTTAATATTTATTGAATTTTCGTTTTCTATAAATGGACTGTATCTCACTTTGCGACGACGTCGCGACCCATGCCGTGAACGTCTACCCCGTAACGCTACAAAATTGTTACTGGTCTAGCAAAAATGTAGACCTTGCCGGTTTGGCGTGGAACGCCCTGATGTCACATTGACTGAAATGTCCGGCATGTTTAAGATAAACAAAATTAAAAAGCAATTTACATAATTTTGAACTCAACAGTATTGTTAATTTCCCATTTCCAAAAACACACAAACAAATAAGCAGTTTTTTAGGAGTGATTGGTTACTATAGGAATCGTATAGGCAATTTTGCAAAAGTTAAAAAACTTTGTTTAAAACAGGTTAAAAAAATAGAGCACATTGAACATCGTGCAACGGATTGGTACATCCAGATTTAAAAAAAAAACCATAACAGATGCCAGCAAGTATGGAATTGGAGCCTGTATGTTATGCAAGTAGAAATTTAAATCCAGCTGAAGAAAATTTAGCATTTATAGAAAGATAATTACTGCTAATAATCTGGAAAATTTACTTTCGACCATACCTGTTTGGACGACATTTAAGTAAAATCCTCTTAAATGGTTACACAACTGGAAAGATGAGATGGAAACTGACTTGAGCAGAATATAGTACTAAATCAACAAATCAAAAAAGGAAAAGAAAACTCTGTAGCCGGTGTATTGTCCAGAAACCCCAATACGCACCGACAACAATGGAAAGTGACTCATTAATAAATGAAATAGGTGACGCCGATATCAATATAGAAAATTTCCCATACTGAAACAAGCCGCTTAGTTTTCATAAAAATCAAGTAATTACTAAATCAGCTGACGATCTCCAGTCCAATGTGCATTCGAGAAACAATTTTTGGAAATAAACATTTTTTTATAAACCTTAGAGTTATCACTTATCTTTTTTATTTTATAGGTATTATAGGTATTTAAAAACAAAAGAAACTTAGACGTAACTATATTAATAATTGTGTAATTTCTCAAAGATCAAAATATGAAAGGCAGGCTAATAAATTGGAATTCCAGTCAATCCCTATAGATTCAAAGTTATTCGAAAGAATACACTTATACATTATCAATTACAAAAGAAAATTTTTTGACAATTATAGATATATTCTCTAAATTCGCCCAAGCTTATTTAATCGCAGGCGTAAACTCTATAAATATTTTGGATGCTTTGCTAGTATTCATTTCTCATTATGGGCTTCCACCTATTATTGTATGTGATAATGGAGTCGAATTCAATAATTAAAACTTTTAGACTTTTGCAACCTCCACAAAATAAAAACACACTTTACTACTGCCAAAAATTGAAATTCAAATAGCTAAATTGAAAGGTTTCATTCTACATGAACCAATGAAAATGAAAGTCACAATGATCAGGTATACCTTAAAAAACAACCAAGAGACGAATTAGGTTATAAATTAACTAAAATTAACCAGATCGCACCAACCCGTAATAAAGTTAGAACGAATATATCCAAATATTCCAAACCCAATTTAAAGGAGCGTAAAAACCATTCATTTGTTTTTTCTTATTAGATGAAATGGATACTTTTTTTTAAACTTCCGCAGGCTACTGTAATACTTTTTACAAAACTTCTGGATTCCTCCTGCGTCGGTTTTTGTTGAATCGAACTTGTTAACGTTTCGCTAATCATCCTGTTCGCTTTTTCAGAACTTGACTGAAACTGAATCGTATTTTACTCTGTACCTGCTTATATAGTGTTTGGGGGGGGCGGGGCTAAATGAACTACATAAACAACGTCTCGGATGACTGATTTCCATAGTGACAGGTAAAGATCTTAGTGTAACGTGGTATTATGAATCTAGCCCGCTATTTAACTACACCATTTTGCTCGTACTTTATCTGTTTTTTCATGTTTCATGACTATGTGTGGTTGAGTCTGTAATATTAGCGTTGTTTACCATATTGTACCATATTTTATCTTAAATAATGTAGGTTAATATTTTAGGTGTTCAATATATAAAGTTGAAATAATTGTATTTCGGGTAGAATATAATTATCTGTCTTGTAGTTTCATCACTATTCAGTTTGATAGAGTAATAACATAAACTGACGAAACAGCGAAGTTTGGAACGAACAACGTAACTCGGAGTCGGCCACTTTGGACATTTCGGCGATATTACCCCACGGATTTGGAAGCAATCGGATGATTTCGGAGATATTATGGCACGGCTGGAATTTTGACGTTTGCCAATTATGACTTTCATGTCATTTCCGTGAGGTTACTGCACGAGTTTGGGAGCACTCAGTTTTCCGCAATATTACCCACGGCTTGTATGTTGACGTTTGTCAATTCTGACGGCCATATCAGTGAATGCATTGTGTTGTTTTACAAAAATTTACCCAAATATTAACTGAGGTTGAAAAAGCATAGTATGCAACATATTTGGTAAACTTTTTGAGTCACTCATTTATTAAACCTTGCTACGCTGCGGTCTGCGGTCGTGCCAAATAAACACGAGACTCAAATGCCGTTTACCACACTTGTTGCATAATATGCTACTATGCGACATAGCCCTATAGCCTATTTCCATTTTTGCTAAAATTCCCAAAATGTAATACGAGCCCTAACAACTAATTGTTCGGACGATGTACGAAATAATAAGAAAACATATTTATACTTATTTTAAATTGTTTTTTTTTGCCTTTTCGATTGAAAAATGAAATCACGCACTTATTTTTATACCAAAAAGTGCTATCGTAATGAATTATTTTTTTATTTCACATAAATTACATAACAAAATATCAAAAACATACCGAATTTGCTGACAAATAAATATTCGGACGCATTTAAATCTTTTACTTACACCTTTCGCGGCAATAAGAGCTTTTATGCGTTTTGGCATGGAATCTACCAAAGTCTTACAATATTCGGGGGTGAAAGTGTTCCAAAGATCGGTGATTTTTGCCTTTAATGCTGGAGCTGTACGCTGAGGATGGTTACGCAAAGTCTTTTTCATCCGATGCCATAAAGTTTCAATAATATTCAAGTCGGGGCTACTTGATGGCCACGATAAAACTTTCATATTATGGTCCCCAAACCACTTTTTTGTTGTTTTCGCAGTATGGCAGAATGCACTGTCTTGTCTCCAAAAGTTCGCTCTATTGATGGAATCAAACTTCTTTGATAAAATTTGTTGCTATTTTTCTGCATTTACAGTACCATCAATGAATTCTTAGTTGCCAACCCCTTTACCACTCATACACCCCCCATATCATAACATCCTGCGGAAATTTTACCGTGCGCTTTAGACAATCTTTGTGAAAGGCTTCTGATTTTGTACGAATCACCCTTTTTCAAAAATCGCCTACACACACATCAAATTTTGATTCGTCGCTGAAGATAACGTTACTCCACATTTCCGTTGTCCAGAATATTTTAGATTTTGCGCAATCCAAACGTTTTTTCTTCTGAATAGACGTTAGTCATCATAGTTTTTCCTTTGCCTTTAACAAAAGTAGATCATAGAATATTCATAATTTTTATATTGAAAAACGAAAAATTGTAAACTTACCTTATAAAAAGTCAAACCAGACTTATGCATCCATTGTCTACAACATTCCCTCTAGATATTTAAGTTTGCCTCGTGATTCCATTGCGCTTGAATTTGTCGTAAGACGCTTCGTCTGCTAGTTTTACAAATCTTAACCAGAATACGACGATCTCTTTCAGTGATTTTACGGGGTCGGCCTGAACTTTTACCACGAACGCTAACACTAGCTGTCTCTCCATATTTTTTTATAATATCCCTGGCTGTTGATTTTGCAATACTCAAGTCATTTGAAATTTTTTGCGTCGATTTACCTCTGAAGTACTGAGATATGATAACACACACCACGCGTCATTTTCTTATCAACTATTATACAAATTTGAAAAATACAACCCGAACTGACATCTCATTTATCTAAACACACTACATTTTAGCATCAATGCATGGGTAACATTAATTTCTTCGTCAATAAACATTCGCGTCCCAATATTTATTTGTCAGCAAATTTGGTATGTTTCCGTTATTTTGCTATGTAATTCATGTGAAATAAAAAATAATTCATTACGATAGCACAGAAAGTGCTATCGTAAAGTGCGTAAATTGAATATTCAATCGACAAAGCAAATTTTTTTTTAAATAGATATAAGAATTATTGCAAATAATAATAATAATAAATTAAAAAAATTCATCCATATGGTTCTAGTCTCACTAACAATTCCTTGAAAGCTTTCTTAAATTTTCTGATTCTTTGACATATTCCACAGAACTTGATAGTATGTAATAAATATAAAATAAACCAAGCAAAACATTTAAATGAAATTCCCTGAATTTTATGATGTTAACTAAATGATAGAGATGAAAAGATAAAATAAGATGAATAAATGAATTAATAAATAAATAATTAAAATTGTCTAAAGATTGAAATATATGGTGAGCAATATAAACAACGGTTAATGCTTAAAAAATTCCTGGGAAACTCAATATTTAATTTTAAAATCGCTGACGACATATATTGCGTAAAAAAGTTCCATGTTGTTTGACTTCTACTTAATCCGTTAGTCCTAAAAGTGATAATTACCTTTTTATCTCTTTTGCACGATTGAGGCGCAAATTGTCGCAGACTGCTTGATATAAATTCATCTTTAAGCTCTTGTAGTTCCCTTTCATGTTGTTGTTGTATGTATTTATAGTTTTTGTTAGTTTTTATACATTTAGGCGATGCGTTTTTTTTATCAGTAATTGAAACTTCTTTATATAATCTCGGACAAACGTTTAACTTCGGGCGACATTTTTCTCTTTTGGCCATCGATGGTGGTAGAGAAGCCTGTTTCAGCATTTCCTCAGCCCTAACTTTTTTCTGCAGCATTCTGTAATATGGAATCAAGGCTAAATAACCGCAAAAAATACCTAAACATAAATAAAAGTTTGCTGGCTCCAGAATATAAGGAAACAAGCCGAAACTAACATCAATGTTTCGAGAGTTATACCTATAAAACTCGTCCTCGTGCATTTTTTTATAAATGTAGTTGCTAAATAAATTTTTCGGGATGGGTTTTGCTTTAAATTTGGTAACTTTTATGGGCTCTTCATCATACACGCATGGTAGCGATTTTGAGAATTTTTTTGTAAGTTCTTGAATTTCTTCGTCCCTTCTTGTAAATGAAAATGGTTTCATTTGGGCGTGCAATACTGCTTTGCGTTTCTCTTTAACCATTCGACTTCTGCAAAATGCGACACTTAGAATGTAATTTGCCAAATTATTAAGTGTTGAAACTAAAAGAACTTCCAATGTTGTCAGATTCACCACTTTTACGCTACACATCATAATTTTTTTATTTTAAATATAATGCCTTATTTATTTTTGTTGCAATGAATTGCCCACGTCGAATTTACTAAGGTCAAATAATTTTATGTTTTTTGTCTGCTTATTACTGAGCTACGGCAACACAACCTTTTCAGTAAAAAGTACCGGAACGCTTAAATAGCTCCAAAATTGCACAAGTTGGAAAGATAAAATTCAATATCTGGGGGTTTTGAACATGCGGAATTCAAAAATGCCAACAGCAAGGTTGTCAGATTTTGCGATAATATTCATAATTCTGATAACTTTTCACATGTCATAATTTTTGTATTGTAAACAGAATGCCTTATTTATTTTTGTTGCAATGAATTGCGCACGTTCAATTTAGTAAGGTCACATAATTCTAAATTTTTCCTTTGCTTATTACTGAGATACGGCAACACAACTCTTTCAGTAAGAAGTACCGGAACGTTTAAATATTTAGAAAATTGCACAAGTTGGAACGATAAAATTCAATATCTGGGGGTTTTGAACATGCAGAATTCAAAAATGCCAAGGTTGTCTTGTTTAGCTCCTCCTCCCGCAATAATATTTATAATTCTGATAACCTTTTACTGACACACTTCAAAAATTTAATATTATATAATTAATTAATTAATTAATTATTAATTAATATTAATAATTAAAATATTCAAAAAACTCCAAAATTCTGCGATTATAAGATTTTTTTAAATAATAGTGCTAAATCTTGCGTCTTTGTTCTTGGCTGTGTCTTCCTCAGGTGAGCGGATTATTGAGTCTGTTTTGTAACTGGTCCTAATTATATTGAAAGTTTAACCATTCTGGAGCAAATTTTGTCTGGCATTATTGAATTCATTAAATATTAACAACGTTGTCTGCGACCAATGCTCGAAAATATCAACGATTTGCGTGTCGTTTTTAGTGGACCTTTTTAGCGTTGACAGTACCAAACTTTTTACGAATGGCCTTTATAGGCATCTAAATGTAATTGATTATAAATTTATATTTTCAAATTTTTTTGGTTAGCGTTGGTTAGCTTTGGTTACTTTTGGTTAGTTTATATCCCTGCTCTGATTATTGATTAATAATTCCACTTTGGTAGCAAAGTTCACCGGCTGGCTAGACATTAATGTATATTGGAGCAGTAGTATTTGGAGTAATTTTGGTCCATCCTTGATAGCGGGCATAGTGGTCCATCTGCCCGAAACCTAATTAAGTAAAAATAAAGAAAATGGACGTTCGAAATTCTTTTGGTTTCAACGCTAAAACATTGCTTCCCAAAAAAGTGACGTAAGAATGAATATTTTCAATATGCTATGTGCTCCCAAAAATATGTGGCCAAATTATTCTACTTTTGCAACAGACAAAAAGATGGCCAGCAGATGATATGATTTATTTGGTCGTCTGGCATATCATATGTTACTGCTCATTCTTCTGATTCCATTTTGCAGACAGGAACGTCATGAAGTAGAATTAACAGAATACTGCTACGGTGTTTTTATTAAAATTTAGAATGATCCGGCAGAATCGGAATACTGGGGTGAAATTTAGAATTTATAATTTTATAAAGGCAGACAAATACGCATTTTTGGGAGCGCTGCATGTACATATAACATTAAACAAACTTGGAAAAAGCTCACGTCAATCGGCTAAAAGTTTTTCTTACCTTCGCTCTTGATCAGCTACGATTTTGTGAAAAAGTGGAATTTGAGATTCAATGGGGATATTGTGCGCTTTGAACTGGTCAGGTTTTTCTCTTTCCGGTTTATTGATTTTCCAAAACAATTCTTCTACCAATTTGTTCTCTTCATCCCTGGAAGGAACACAATAATGGAATTTATTGAAATTAATGTCATACTAGTTACAAAACTTCTGGATTCTTTCTGCGTCGGTTATTGTTAAATCGAACTTGCTGACGTTTCGCCAATCATCTTGTTGGCTTCTTCAGAGTTTAACTCCAAGTGTCTCACATTCTAATCTCTATCAGCTTATATATTGTTTGAAGGGGGCGGAACTTAGGGAGGGATGTGAACATTGTCTTATATGACTGATTCTTATATTGATGAGAAGTAAAAACCTTAGTCGCTGTTAACATTGTTTGGTTGCTTATAGATTTCTATAGATAGATTATACTCTCCAATCAATCAACCAGCGAAAAATCCGAGACTCTATAGAAATCTGTAAGCAATCAAACAATCTTAACCGCGACTCAGGTCTTTACCTGTCACCAATATGGGAATCAGTCATCCTAGACAATGTTCATGACCCTGCTTTAACTCCTCACCCCTCAAACAATATACAGGTACAAAGTAGAATGCGAGACAGTTTCAGCTAAGCTCTGAAAAAGCCAACAGGATGATTGGCTAAATGTCAGCAAGTTTGATTCAACAACAAACGACACAGGAGGAATCAACAAGTTTTGTAAATAGTATTACAGTAGCCTGTGGAAGTGTCTTTGAGAAATTAATTCTACCATGTATAATGCAAACCTACTTTTCTATTTGTCATACATTGGTGCTTCGTATGCTACCCTCACCTTTCGCATTTCCAAAACTGTAAGAAATGCGGGTCGACCAAAATCCGAAAATTCCAATTGTTGTGCTTTATGCTGCAAGGTATCAAGAAGAATTTAAATTTTTAAACAGAATGCTATTAGAATTTGCTATATAAAAAGTTTTGCATTATGGCATGGGAGAAAGTTTTCTTATATTTTTTTACATGGAAAAAGTAACCATTACCTGACAGTCATTTGAAACGGTTCCGGAATGGTAATGCCAATGTATTCGCATACTTCATTTGTTTTAATAACCCTTAGTGGGCTATTAGGTGCACTTCGGGTTTCAATAGGAGTAGGGTTGGACTCATTCCAGTTACTTTCCTTTTCCCTTGAGACATAATTACGCGAACTGCATCCAAATGGCTCCGGCGATGTATCTTGAGATGGTTTCTCCCTGGGAGTTTCAATTCTTACCGATCTACGAAAGTTAAAATAAATTGAGAACATTTTAACTGTATCAGCCTATTAATTGAAAGATATTTGACTAATTTATCGATAAAAAATCATATTATGAAAAGATTATATTATTTTTTATTCTCTATCTTCTTCCATAATTAGAATCAAATATCTACAAGGCATATACAAAATAATGTTATTTTAATTTGCTGGAATCTAAATTGAGTTAGCTATATTAATAAGCATATTGTTGGACTGGATTTTAACATAAATGTTACTTAGTTACCACAATTAAAATTTCAACAAATTAAAGAAACAAAGAACTTAAGGTTAACGGTATTAAACGTTTTAAAGTAATCCAGTATGTAATGAGTAAGTGAGTAAAATGTAGCAAAGGAAATGAGCAATGTAATTGTATTTATTATTGGCGAATTTCGTATTTTCATATTATTCTGTCATTTACATTAAATTATGTTATATTCGTGGAGGGAAACTATAAAATGGATAAACCGTTGGTTGTCCCAATTAATTGTTATTGAAAGTTGTATATAAGTGCTAAAAACTGAAGAATTTTTATTTTTTTTCTACCTTCGTGACGGCGGTTTAAAAACAAATTCCTTGTCGGAAAGTGAAAGATCATCATCATCAAATAAGTTGTCCTGACACTGCTTTTTGGGAAGCGGCGTTGCGCAAAATGGCTTTATGGAAGATTTCTTCTTCTTCCTTTCTTTGTGCGGATTTTCTTCTCCATGTTTTTTGTAGTTTTCGAACCATTTAGTATCCTTAGGAACAAGCATTCAACGTATAAAGTTATCTGCCGTACTATAAGTTCTGTTTCATTTTTACTAAATTTTTTAATAAATTATGAATTTTGGATGTTTCTGTTTATGAAGATTGGGAATCAATCCAGTGACCTAATTAAATTTGTTTTTTAAAGTTTATATAACGTTAAGAATTTTTTATTGCAAAATTTTCAACACAAAATCGTTACGTATGTGTAAGGCAGTACTCAACATTAATTTTATATATAAATTAAATTATTAAAAGTAAGTTTAAACAGGTACTTGTTTTACTAATTCTACTCTATGATAATTCTAGATTAATTAACTAATTTTACCTCTTTTTCAACATTCAGTTTCCTCAAATTTTCGCAAAGGCTTTTCTGCACTTCCTTCAATTTTTTTAGTTTCTTATAAAACTCTTTATTAGATAGATGATTGATATCATCGTATTCTGGAATACTATCAAAAAAGTCGACGAAAATCTTCACTTCGTTATTACTCCCCAGAACATTCGTTTTCATCTTTTCTTTCAAATTTTTAGTAACCTCATTATGCAAGTCTTCAAGGTCCTTTTGGGTGTACAAACATGCCGAATGATTTCTTTTTATACCGCCTGGTAATTTTATGCAATTATTGATATATACTGAAGACCTGTGGTCATACATTGCAATATCAATAGTGTTTACTTGAACCTTAAAGCATTACCATGGAAACCCTTACAAATATCGATCCCGATAGTTTTTTTGTGAATTTAACTGGGTTCGGAAATAAACGGTGTTGAACAGAAATCGTAAACAAATTTGACGCAGAGTGTTTCTACACATTCTGGTAGTGGAAGTGTTGCTCTTGTTTTCTTATTGTGAGGTACAAAAAAAAGACTGCACACTATTTTAGATGTTTGTTATTTATGAGTCATCATGATAGATATGTCATAATATTCAACATTTCTTTCAAATGTTTTTGGATACAATATGAAATCTCTTCGAATTTCACTTATATTATTTTTAAAACATATTTATTTTAACAACATATTTTCATTTTAAATTTAGAGAATATGTTCAAAGTTAAGGATTTAAATGTTTAGTGTATAGCTAATAATCATAATGTTGATACATAATTTGTTTATGTATGTATACGTGCAAATTTGTATTTTTGAAATAGAAAATGAAAACAATAAAATGCTGTCAAAAAATTAATGAAACAAATGTGATACTTTTATCTACTTCTTTTTAATACATGTATTGTATCAAGTTTTTCATACAACTAAATTTGTAATTGTCTTATTCGGTCACGTTGGAAACGATTGATTCCTTCAAAATTTTCAATTTTCGAACTCTTTGATTTTTAAACTCTAACGAATAAAACACATTTATTATTATGATTTATTGAATTAGTTAACAAAAGTAATCACCACAAATAAACTATAGTAACATAATCCGGTTTAGTGATTTGCCTTAATCAAGAATCCCGAAGCTATCATAATAGGGTAGAAGATGTTCCATATGTTTTCTGTATCTCTCATTGTTGTAGGCGTGATATCTAAATCCTTCTTTACTTTCGTCAATTATAATATTCTCGAAAGAGGCGTCTTTGCGACCCTCGGCTGCTTTAACAAAAGCTAATACTGTAGCTGCTCCCATTAAGCCTGAAAATAATAAATAAAGGCGAAAAAGTCATTTCGCAAAAAACAAACATGTAGAAACAAACTTGTTATTAAGCAAAAAGTTAGAAAGAGTTAAAGAGATTTTATGAATGTTTGACGACCAACTGCACCCCTTCTATAACGAGTATGAACCCAGTAGTAGTAGAATATTTACCGTAGAATGCTCTGTAGTTGTAATCCTTCTTAAACTGTTCCCTCGTTGGCACGCGTTCTAAGGAGTATTGCATTTTGGCAAGATTTGCAATCAACTGGGCGTAATAATGATCCAGTATGATTTCTATATGATCAAGTTTCATTTCAATTTTCGTACTAGTTGCTATAAAGTAGTGCAAATCTATAGCCGGGCTTGTAAATATATTCATTTGAAAGTCAATCTAAAAATCATTATTTGTTTGTTATTGTAAATATTTTTATATTTATTATAATTAAAGCAAGTAAAGTTTTTCGGGTTGCTTCATTTCATTTTACTAAAAGAATTGAAAAGTACAAATGAGGTTTAAACATTTTAAATTTGAAAAAAATTCGTTTCTAGGTCTGCATTTTAGCGGAGAAGCAGATTTACTCGTTATCGCAAAATAAAGAATCAAGAATCTTAAAACCAAAAATGTTCATAAAAGTAGGCATTTGGCTTAAGTTTTAAATTTAAATTCCTCTAACATATTTTTATCGTTTGTTATTATGAAATAAAATGCTATTATAATTGTCTAGTTTGAATTCTTGGTTAATTTTACTGAGGGCCTTAAAAATCCAACTTACAGTCATGCCGTCATAGATAGTCATGATCGCTCTAAAAACGCTGAGAGATTTAAAAATATGTAATATTACTGAACCATACATGCCTTGCCAATAAAAAAAATTGCACTTAAACAAATAAATCTTAAAGTGTGACAAGATTAGATGCAATACATTCCAAAAAGAACACATATTTTAAAATAACTTACAAATCGCAAATCTTTAAGCTTGCTATCTGTGTAATACGAGAACATCATGTTATTAACCCAGAGGTCACCGTGATTTAAAACGTTAAAACCCCCTAATTTTCTTTTTTGTGCTTGAAAGCCTCTCTCCAGAGCCTCGTCCCCCAGCGCTTGCAGCTTGTAGCCATATTTCTCGAAACCTGTAACAGAGTTTTAAAGTATTTCGACTTTATGACCTTTCAACAATCTCACCAGACCATCTTGAACAGGCATCGATTAAACCTTTATAGCCAGCCGAAACCCATTGCCTAACTAAATGATTATCTCCGTACAGTCCTTCGGAGTATAGTTTCACTAATGATGGATCCTAGTAAGAATTATATATCAATTAGGCACCATTTAAAACACAATGCAACCTCATGAATTACACTAATGTGTTGTAATGACATAGCATATTATTAAGTATTGTACTTGTTAGTATGTTGGCCATAGTGAGGTTTAACTGAAGAACATAAAATGTACTATAATTAATGTTTTGCTTTCCAAATGAATGTGGTTTTTTACGCCAAAGTATTGGTCGTTATATATTTTCCTGTAATACTCGTCTTATACAGTTTTGTTTTATTATATACGTAAGTTGTAATTTGTTACGTGATTGTTTTCTGACGAAACATCTAGCGCACTTGTGCCGCAATTTGTTGTTGTTGTTGTTATATTTTTTATTCACAGAAAATCCAAAGTCCTTAATTGGTAAAACATCTATCTTTTCTGGACTTTCCATTAATCTTTCTATAATTTTGTAATTAAGCAATATGTAATTTGGGTTTTGCATGTGATGAGTCTTTTATGTGGCACCTTTAAGCTAAGACGATACGTATAATGTATAATGAATTATACAGCGGCTTGTTTTTTTTTAAGACGATAAAATCATAATCTGCATAAATCTGCAATTAATTGGTGTTTCGACTAGGTGATTCGTTTAATGATGTAGCAATCGTATACAAAAGAAAATTAAATTTCGGACCTTACAACCGGTCGCACGAAGTTTTACAAAAACAATTTACCTTTTCATACATTATAACGGATGCCGCGTGCATCTGGGCCATCTTTTCAACAACCCGAAAGCAGTGCTCTAAATCGAAGCCGATGTGCCTTGGAAGTACTTTGAAACCCAAAGTCGTTAAGTCTTCGAGAATAATAATTGAATGAGGATTGAGGCATGAGTACAAGCACTGAGAAGAAAGCGTATAATACTCTCCTAAAATTGGATGCAAGTTCGCAAAAGCTCTCATAATTTGCATTCTACGGACCGAGAATGTCATACATTGCTGGAAAAGTGCGTCCAAACATTTCAGCTTCCTTTTCAAATAGGTGTAATTTATTTGCTAGGTCTTGTTTCACTCCCCCGTCCTCGTTGCCTACTTTTACAATAACGGATAATTTCTCTGTACGGTGCCTAAAATGTGTTCCGGCAAGGCGGTAGAGTAATTAAGAGTAATTGATTAATTCTAAAAGCATTATAGAGTCTCCGAAAGGTCAGTCCTTCATTGGCCATATATTTCGAAAAGGAAAAGTGGTGGTTACCAACAGGTATGGTCTGTTCATAGATATAAGAAAGTGACCAATTGCTTTTGAATGCGATTATCCAAGGGTGGTCATTAACATACAATGCAACAAGATTATTACCTAAAGTTTCGGATTTTAAATTAAGGTAAAATTGTGGTCCGTAATAGAAAATAATTTTATACCTACCTCTGTGTAATATTCTTTGGTTTGGTATTCTACATAGTTTAAGTTTATTAGTAATCATTCTTATTTCGTGTGTAATACAGCGTGTGGTGAATCGTGTTCGAATTATTCAAAATTAGTGCGAATCTAGTGTATCTCAGGAGATGCTCCCGCCCAAATGCAGGAAACACTATTCTATTGAGACTAAGGAAGTTATAAACAACGTTTATTTGACTGTCAATGAACGTGGTGCCAGCAAGCAAGCATCTTTAGAAGAAACGGCCACATTGACGAAAATTCCAATATCAACTGTATGGAAAAATGTGAATAATCCCATTTCAGCGAGGAAAAAAAAGAAGCGATGCTGACATTTTCTCGAGTGTAGTGATCAAGATATAATACGGCGTAAAATTTACCAGTTATACGGGGAACAAAGCGTGGCTACATTAATATCTTAATTAGGAGGCTTGAAAAAGATGAAACCGGTGTTAAATGTTGCAGAACTACCTTGTGGAAGTGTATTGAACACATGGGTTTTAGATTTAAAAAAAATTACAAAAGGCAAGTTTTAATGGAATCTTTTAGAATTCGGAAATAGCGACTGGAATATCTAGAAAAAAATAGGATTTACAGAGAACAACAAAGGCCAATTATTTACTTGAATGAAACCTGTTCGACACTTATGATACCCCGGAAAAGGGTTAGGTTGACTCAACTGATAAGTGCAAAACAAACGCGCCATCAAAAAGAGGTAAAAGAATAACTATTTTCATGCTGGCTCTAAAGATGGTTTGATTCCAAATGGACCTTCTCTGTCTGCAAAAAATATTAAAGATTCTTCTCTGCATTACCATGAAGATACCACTGCTGATTTATTTAAAAGTTGGTTTAAAAACTGTAGTTCCAAACACTTCTCCTAATAGCGTAATTGTAATGGACAATGCAAGTTATCACAGTAGACAGTTGACTAAAACCCCTTCCTCGTGTGACACAATAGCAACAATAATACGTAATACATAATAACGACATTTATTTTTACTAAGATTATACCAAAAAGCAATTAATTGAGGTTCTACAAAGCTTGAACCTACAAAAGTACAGTTTACAGTACACAGTTTTAAGGCTTCCACCTTACCACCGAAGTTTTTAACATCCCTCCACAAAGTTGGATAAATTCTGTTAGAAAATGCAGGACAATCGTATATCCATATTGTAAATAATATAGAACAAATAATAATTAGAACAGGCCATTATAGCGATAGTGATGCTGCTATATTATGTGAATAATTTTAAGTAATTTAAGTAGGTAATAAAAATAATTTGTAATTTTATTTTAGATTTAAACATAAATAAATAAATATTGTTTAGTATCTTTCCTAACAAAACCCCAAATAATTAAATACTAAGCAAAGTACGGACTTGTTCGGCCATATTTCATTCTTACAGCTTGCCCGGGTCTTTCCTTGATTCGTGTCAGTTAGTCACTTTCTCTATGAACAGACTTTACTAAGTGAAGAGACATTTTATTTATTAATAATACTTAACTATTTATATATTTTTTTCACTAAATACCTGAATCCCACTTCGATAAAAACCAGTCATCTGTAGTTTTGATTTTTGCATAGTTATCTACTACCTCAGTTTTATAATTATTTTTTATTTAAAATTGTCAAATATGGTTTCCATATTACACAAGAGATTAAGTGACATTACATATAAAACAGCCCCTTCGATATTTTTATAAAAAAAAATTCCCTAATAAGTTCATTACATCAATTTTATTATTGGTGTTAAACTGAAGTAAGTATTGATTGAAATATTTGGGGCATCCATAATTGGTTTTAATGCTGTGGTGACTTTAATGTCTATATTGAGTATGTGCCATATTAATATGGTTTAAAAGTCACACACGAAAATGCCTATTCCCTCAGCATTATTGCTGGTCATTTAGGGTCGTATTTATTTTCGTTCCTCGTTTTATAATAATGGCTTGAAAACTTTACAATTTAGAATGAACATGATGCATTTGTCAAGTTATTTAAGATAGCCCATTCTAATATCTTGCTTGGCCTATTAATCCTCAAATAGCGACTATAAATTCCATAATTAGTGGTGTAGTAGTATACATGACGTGTCTGGTTAACTTATTGACGTTAGCAGTCTTTTTAAAAGATTTGAAACGAAATTATTTTTGTTTCAACCCGCACGGTTTTTCAGTCCTGATCATGTAATCATGTAATGTACTTAATCATTATCTTTCAAATCGCATTAATTTCAAAAATTACTTTCTTATTTCACTGCTACATTTTAATCAACAAAACATACCCCTGTTCTTTTCTAAAGATCATAGTTGTCCGAAATAGATCACTAGTGTAGTTTTCTCCTGCCGGTATGGCATCTTCAGTAGTGAACGAAATAATCTGCACCTTATCATTTTTCAGAAAGTTTCGAAGGGCTTTTAAAAAAAAGTCCTTTGTCATCCATGCCGGAATCTGCATCGCCCAACTATTTTAGTATTGTCACTAAAACCATTCACGCATCTCAATAATGGGCGAACTATGAATGGTCAAAAACGGAAAAGAGTAACGGATTTAAGTTATTAAGTTAAAGATAATACTCCCAATACCCTCCTTTCTAAATTTTCAAATCCAAGCAATATTAAAAAAAATCTTTGACTTGCTGCGAAAACTACTTTAGTATGTAAATAGTTCGTTCAGCATCTCAATATGAGCGCACTATGAATGGTCAAAAACGGAAAAGAGTAACGGATTTAAATTATTAAGTTAAAGATAATACTCCCAATACCCCCCTTTCTAAATTTTCAAATCCAAGCAATATTAAAAAAAAAATTTGACCTACCTTGCTACGAAAACCACTTTAGTATGTAAAATAGTTCGTTTGAACCATAGAACTGCTATATATATATATATATATATATATATATATATATATATATATATATATATATATATATATATATATATATATTGCCATTTTCCATTGCGTGACAAAAGTATCAAAAAATAAATTGATTGAAAATTATCTAGGCCCTTAATTACAGTGATTTTTATAGCCAGAGTAATAGATGCAAAAAATGACTGGCGTAGGTGCGAATTAATCTGCAGAATTATATGTTATTTCCTTGCTGATGCTAAATGAGTTATAATTTTGTAGTAAATTTATTAAACAATCTTACACAACAAGTTTTATTAGATATTGTTGTTTGTACTCTTAATAAGTTGCATGGGATTGATAAATGACCAGAAATTTAGTAAATTTTCTGCATTTCTACGTTTTTATTATCTTTAGTTGATGTTAAATTTAATTATCAGTTTTAAAAAAAATTGATCCTTACTTCTTACCAAGTGTACCATGTTTTCAAGAACATTAGGTGACGATATTCTTTTATTTAGTTCCATAGTTTTTCCTCCTTACGTTCCAGTGATCTCGTTGGTGTCTAACAACATTATGCTTAATTAGGTAACTGTACAGATACAGTTTTATTTTAATTAATATAAAAATTCTAAGGCAATCTGTTTGAGAAAACATCTATTAATATAAATATGCATATAATATACAATATTTTCCTTATGTTATAGGTACACAGTCCACGGAAGTTTTTAAAAAAAAAATTCTTTATGTGCAATTATATACTTACTAAATTTTATAGTCTGTGATTGTATCTTTCACAATAAATTTGGTTTATCTGGTTTTGATGGTGTGGGAGGAAACTTTTTTTTTAATTATTAATGCATTTGTCGAATATATGTCGATATTGTCTTGAATTGAATTAAGTAATTTTTTAGTTGACTTGCCGAGTGATCAATTGGTCAGCATTCAGATTACGCGTAATGCAATGTAGCTATAAGTATTCTTTTTAAAATAAAAGTGTTTTTAGCTTTAAATAATTTATTTAATACAAAGAATATTTAATATTGTGGATTGTCAGACCATTGGTACTCGAATCCTTGTTTTAAGCCAGTTCTGCAAGTTACACTGAAACAAAGACACAAATAATATTGTTGTCAATCGCAAGCTACCGCTGCAGATTTTGCGTTGCAACGCTTTATGTTTTCAGCTTTTTAATAAAAATTACATTTTTACACCATTTAATCTTTAAAATACCGGACGGACTTACTTTTGTTGACTACAGTCCACTTTTAAAAAGCATTGAGGTCCCAAAATCGTAAAATAAGTATAGCCAACTTGATCTGATGCCGGAGATTTTACCCTTTTGAGGCAATTGTAAAAATCGCCGTCACATTTACACGACGATCTGGAAAAGTAGAAGCTGATAAATAGACAACCAATAAGCCAAAAATATGTTATGATTTGAATTTCCCATCAATTAGCGCCTTAAATTCAATCTGCAGATACAATTAGAGATTAATATTTTTATGTTAATATTTGGTGTTTGGTCTAGCAATTAGAAAACTTTAATTTTTATGGTTTATTTGATTAAGCAGGTTTTTTTATTGCTCTAAGAATCTAGTGACTTAAAACTTGTGCTATCTGAAAGTTAAGCAGGAGCAAATTGTGAAAACATTTTTTTGTACAAATATTGGAATTACAGATGTTTTTTTATTTTATTTTATAAATAACTAATATCAATCTCAACAAAAATTATGATTTATTTTACATAACAAAATAGAAAAACAGTCAATTTCGGTCCCAAATGGTTTTAAATTTAAGTATTTACAAAATCACTACTACTTTTCAAGAAATATTAAAAATTAATATAACACTTTAATACATCTTTTTAAGTATCATAAAATGTACTTACCTTCTGAAAAGTCCATTATTTTTTAGACCAAACCGTACTTTTCCTGGTAATATAAAATCCAAACAATTATCATGATCTTTGCAACAATTATCTGAGCCAGAGAAAGCTCCTAAGTCATTCTGTGATTCGGCCACGTTCCCCTTGCCGCACCATTTTGTACCTATTTACGCATATCGTTTTTTCATCGATATGGTTATATTTATTAGTTACTCAAAGAATAAAGGTTTAGCAAACAAAATTAATTGTTCAACTTTAATAAATAATTAGCTGCTTTACACTTACAGGCTTCTAGATTAATTCTAAAATAATGTTTTTTCCACAAACAAAAGCATTCTGAAATTTCAACGGTTTTTTTGTTCTTAAAAATGGCATAATCTAAGAAAGTATCTGACCATATACTTTAAAATTTAGAGGTGAAATACATTTTCTTTGCCAAAAAAGTCATCAACTCCTTATTGTTCTTTTCACAAATATAAGCCTGTCATGTCTGATAATATCCGGTAAAATAACAGACTTAACTCCTCCCAATTCATAACACGCTTCATACTGTTAAATGCAAGTTACTGATTTTAAACCCTAAAGGGGCGTATGGAATTAGTTTTTTAGTTTTTTTTTCTAATTATTATCATTATTGGAACTGTGTGTTTATTATCGAAAAAGTATGAAATATTACAATTTTATGACTACAAATTCAAAAAATGTTTTAATAGGCACACTACCACCCAAAGAGCGCTTTTAAGCGTTACCTTTTTCATAAAAAAAAATATTATTTCAAGAAAATAACCTACCACAAATAAAAATAAAATCGCTCACCAACAAACACAAAATGCCACAACTATCTAAATAAACAAAAATTCACAGTCGTTTTGCAATGCATATCATCTCATTATAAAAAATAAAGGTTTTTAGAGTGTTTTCGTCATTAATAAGTCGTCTAAAAAATCTATTCGTATTTTCTAATCAATTTAGAAGCTTTGTAAGTCAAGATCTTTGAAATAATATCGTGTTATGTTGAGATAAAAGTAACAACTCTTTTTCCTTGTACTAGTACTACTTTAGCATTTTACATAAATAAGACGGCTGATTGGGTTTTAACGTTTTGCAAGAGTGAAATGACGGAATAATGGTTGTTATACAGAAATTAAAGGACATGTTACAAAACAAACAATATTGAGGATTGTATTACCGGGGTAAATTCCCTGCACCTTGGCCTTGAAACTTAGAATCGCGCCATGGAAAAACGAATTATTTGTGTCTAGACCTGAAGTTTCCGGTATCAGCCCCACTTTCTCAGCAATTGCTGCTGTCTCTTTCACCGGCGCTAATGCAATTCCGAAAAGATGAACTAAAATGCAAATATTAAGTAATTATTAACATTTTACAGATATAAAATTTGTGATTTAAATAAGTGGAGATTTTTAATTTTGAAACATATTTTTATGATAAACGCATCAAGCATATCGTATTGAGTATCATAAGTATATGAAAAGACAAAAGAATATGAGATATAGTAGACTCGAAAATTAATTGGAAAATCCGAAATTTTCTTTTGGAGGTTATAGGGAATCTAAGAATACGTTCTCAGCTAGACTTTTGACTTTTATATTTTGTTATGATAACTTTGCTACTTTGTTGCGAAAATACTTTGGGAAAACTGATATTTCCGGTTTTCACTTCATTCTATGATGCAATACGTAAAGCAACGTAAAAGGTTATTGATTAAATGATTACGTATGACCTGTCTCAAATTCTTGGCTTTTGACGACAATTATTGAAATAACCTGCCGACAGCAATAAAGCACCTGACCAGATAAAATGACAGATGTAATAGAAAATACGATAATACTAAATATATACAAATCAGCAACAATCACTTAAATAAGTACGTTTTTATTCAAAAACTAATCCTATTTAACTCTGGGAGTGGTAACCATGGGCTCTATGTTATTTTGTATGCGCACGTAAAAGTCTTCAAGTTTTAAAATGTACAATTTTTCCACCTCTCGACAAGTATATTATTAATTACATTTTTAAATAAATTTATTGCATTTGTACTTAAAGTAGATTTTCTTGACCAGTGGGCATGGAGAGAGCTTGTAGCCTTACAAGAAATTTTATTTTTATGCGGCAAGTGGAGAAATTTATTACTTGATCATGCAAAATTATATTAGATTTGCAAATTACTTACGGATAAAACGGAGTATAGCTCTGCGAAATCCAGACCATCTTCCATGTTCGTTGGGATTTGGTTTACTGATTATCTTCACGAACTTTTTCTTGACAGCATCATAAATATTTCTTTTAGGTGCAGTCACATTCGTTTCTTTTTTATTGTTTAGCAAACTTAAAGTGACTTTCGGGATATTTTCTATAATTTTGGGTAAAGTAACTGAAAACAGTTATTTAACTAGCAAGAGACATTGCGCAAAATGTACCAAAATCAAACGTAAAAGAAAAACTATGAAATAAGAAAATATTTGAACTACACTGAACAGTGACTTATTGTTATAATATTGATTATACAATTTATTTAATAAAGAATTAGAATGAGCAGATATCGATAGAAACCATCTAATATGAGTACTCAGGATACTTACAGGTCGAAAAACGTACATCTAATATACTATTTTCAAATCTTCTGGATTCCTCCAGGGTCGGTTGTTGATGAATCGAACTTACTGGGGGCGGAGATATATATACAATATATAAGCAGGTGGAGAGTAGAATGCGAACCAGTTTCAATTGAGCTCATAGGAAGTCAACAGGATGATTAACGAAAAGTCAGAAAGTTCGACTCATCAACAATCGATGCAGGAGGAATCCAGAAGATTTGTAAATAGTATTACAGTAGCCCGTGGAAGTTTCTTTGAAAATTTCCTTAAGTATGTATATGTAGAAACCTTACTAACTACTAAGCAGAATTTTTATTTACAAACAAAACTAACAACTAGCATATAAATATGATGACAACCAATTACCACTTTTATTTTCTGCCACACTATTCACAAAACTAAATGCTGACGATGCTAAAAACCAAATGATTGGAATTGTTGCAACCGGAAGGATTTTCATGGTTGCATACTACGGACCCTGAAAGTAAATAAACTTGATTTAATGAAATATATATTGTATTTTAAAGAGCGAAATATATATTTTTTTAATTTAAAATCTGACCAGGACAATAAACTAAGACCATTAAAAACTTGCAGTTCTATTCGATAAAACAAAAACTGTACGGAGTACCTGCATCTAATAGCAAAATATTGTGTATTTTAATTAGTTTTTAAGGTGTTGAAACTACAGTTTTCGCGATGTGGATTATGCTTTTGGCTGTTAGTGAGACTTTGAAGTTCCCGTATTCACGGTTATCTTTTATGAAAACTAAAACGCGATTTGAACGTACATTATGCAGTATGTATAACCAATAAGATCCACATGGATTTTCCAATAATTTACATTAAAAATTTTAAAAATAGAATTCCATTTACTTTGCTTACTGGCTAGTATATTAGGCTACAACTTAAACCTAAATAAAAAAACTAGCCTACTTTTTTGTAAATATCTATCTCTGTATATGTCTATAACGAAAAAAGGTAATTCAAGTGAACACGTACCGACAACAGTAAACACATACCATAGTAATTCTGATAGAACTCGACCATTTTAGGTATTTAACCTTATCGCTATTTGTCGGTAATTGGGAAAGGTACTGGAAAAATGTACTTATTAGACCGTATCAACGGTAATTGCGATGACCCGTAGAAAAAACGCCCTATTGATAAAAAAAGGCTATAATGGTCCAAGTATTCATCAAGAAATTTTAATAAATTATATCTAAATCAGTGGAAAACTTCCTTTGCTGAGTTTGTTTAGCAAATAAAGTATCTGCTGCATATGTTATAAGTTTATTCGAGAAAAACTCGACGCCAAATATACTGAATATCAACCAAAGAATTTCTAGAATTGTGTCAACACGCTACAGTGTCATCGACCGAGATTGAAATAGCCTTCTGCTTTTTTTGGCTAGATTAATATTATGAATCAAATTACAGGTAAAAATTAATGCCTATACTGATATTGACAATATTCTATAAATGCATCAAAGCAGGATTTTCCAGTAACCAATTTTAATTACAAATAATAAATTAATTAATTCAGTGAGCCTTTTAAATAATTTTGTTTTTTACTAATTTTTTTTAATAATTCTCAAAATTTTTCGAAAATTGAATTCGAAACCACAGTGTGTACAAAATGGGGTCCTTCAAAAATTTATTTTTTTGGATTTTTGAAATTCGAGCTAATTATTCCATTTTTGACATTTTAACTCAAAAATGTTAGTTTTACACACTAGTTAAATAGCCATTCATAGCATAGTCAAAACAATAAGAAAATGTCTCAGCTATGATAAATTCAGTTTATTAGGTAAATTTTCATAATTTTTACAAAAAAAAAATCAACTTTGTGTTATAAGCAGAAAATCAAAAGAAGATATTAATAAGATGTTAATACTATTAAATTGAACTAGAATTTTTTGAAAAACATGAAATATGTAGTTATTAATCAAAAGATTGCCCATACCTATGGTACCAACCGGGCCAGTACGATACGGGATATATTCATCGATCGCGGCTGTGTTTGCTTGAGAAATGACCGCCGATTCATTTATTTGTATAAATATTGGTAACAAGTGATCTTGCTTAGTACTTTGGTCACTGTTGCCTTTGTGGCGACGTATAAGTTTTTCCTTTCTTTTATTTCACCTTAAAATTAAAAGCTTAGATTAAATTAGAAGGTTAGCTTTGAGCCACGATCATAACGCACACGAGGCAACTAGACGAAAATTTGGCAGGGACTTTTTTTCAGTGAAATTATTTTATGCTCACATGGCATGCTTTGTGAAATTTCTGATTTTTCTAAATTGCTAATATTCAATATTCAAAACCGAATAACTCCCAAACGAATTGAAATATCTTGATCAAGTACGTTCTTTTACGTAGAAAGAATGACTGTCTCCTAGTATGCAGTCAAATAATCTCGGCTTTACAGGAAAATTAGGTCCAAACTAATACACTTTTGAAAAAGCATAAATAAATTTTAAACCCCCATTAATTGAAAAATATTTTTCTCTGTTCTTTTCTGAAAAATATCTAATTATACTTCAGCCTAGCATGCGGAAAGTGTCATTTAGGACATGTCCGAGGTATTACGGCACGGGTTTGGGAGCAATCCCATGTTTTCCGAGATATTATCGCAGGGCTTGAATTTTGACGTTTGTCAATTCTGACGCTTACTACATTTGTTGCATAATATACTATTATTTTCTTTATAGCATCACCATTTCTTCTATGGCGGATAAGTTACGAGACACCGTGTGGTTATTAATCTGACCACTCTTGACACTTATACTAAGATCGATAAGTTATCACAAAAATAAAATATCCAAGATTCTTATGACAATTCATATTGCTTATAATATTTTCTATTATCAAATTATCAAATAAATAATGTTGTCGGCCATAGATTAGGGACTATATAATCTTCAAGTGATGGCATATGTTCAAGAGTTTTGTGAAAGATCAGTGAGGTGGGAGCGTTCCATGCACATCATTAAGACACATACTTAACAAATCATTAAACAAGCAACACAACATTTTTTAATCACTCAGTTTTTTAATATTTAATTATATTTACCGAAAAATAATTTTGCATCGTTAGCTCGAACTCCATTATCAGTTGTTAGCGTGGTTTGAAAATATCCAAGAGGATTTAAAGGGTTTTCAGCTGCAACAGTGGGATAACCCAACTCCCTAGCTCCTTTCCTTATAGCTTGCGAAAGTGGCAGATTATTGTCATACCACAAATTATGTTTTTGAATTTTTTATACAAGTTGTAAAATAGAAGTTTCTGAATACAACAGAATTTATAAAAATATCGATGTATATTGCATTGCGCATATGCAAGAACTTCGGAATATCAATCCTGACGAAATATGTAGGTATGCCTAAATTTCGACATGGAGTAGTTTGATTCAGACACTTTGCTGTGCCAATGAAAACTTGAAAACTGGTAACACAGTCAGTTTTGAAAATATTTCTTCATTATCTCGATTAATTTTAATTTATTTTTCTTTCTTTTCTTTCTGATAAAATGTCTTTATTTTGAATATTTGTTGTTATACAACGTGCGCCAAGGAAACAACATCCACCATATTGGAAATTTAAAGAAATTTCCCCAGTTGCACATTATATACTTTCATGATTCCAACCGATATTACCTAAAACAGCAAAAGAAAGGTGCATTGAAACTAATCCAAACCCAATCATCCTTTCTAAAATACAAAAAAAGTTTTTTTCTTATTTTATTGGATGGCAGTAAGAAATCGCATTTTATTCAAAATTCATTAATTGAAATTATATTTGTAATTTCTTATACTTTGTCATCATTATTATTAGCAATTATGGAGTTGTATCGCAGATCAAAATCTATTAGTAGAAAATAATGCCCTTGTTCATAAAAATTTATTTTAATTGAATATCGATTTGATAAGAACTATAAACTCTCTTTTAGTTTCTTCATTAGTCTCTACATTCCAAGGAAATGACGCAGAAGAGATCTCACTTGTTAACTGCTAAGGGCAACTAGCTAAAGCATAAATGAACCGCTAGGTGAAAATTTAGAAATATTTATTCTATCCAAGTCAGCCCATTCATCATAGTCTCGTTTATTTCCTCTGATATAAATCATAATGTTGATAGAACTGGAGCCACCTATATCCTTTCTTCAAGGCCGCCGACATTTTCCGTCTATATAACCTATACAGGAAATGTTGGAATTTTCCGCTAGATACCTCCAGTCGTCCCGACTTTGCTGCAGATCTAAGAAACTAGACGAAATGTACAAAATGTTTAGAGAAATTATAAGTGTGTTAGAACTACTATATGGTTTTGGCAAATATCAAGTGAACAAAAATTTCTGAAAAGTTTTTTGTCCCTGTGCTAAACTGCTATTTAATAAAAACCAACTTTTACTCCCCCTTTTTTTTTCTTAGATCGGAGTTTTGTTTCACGTAGCTATAACTTCGGATATTTAATGACACAATTTGTAGCCAGTCACTATTCGCAGAAGGGTAGCCGCCTGCTTTTAAAATCAAAATTCTCCAACCTTTTTTTTCGGAAAGTTGGTTGGCAATAACAGAGCCCGAAGACCCTGCACCGACTATTATAAAGTCAAATACGTCGCCACTGGTCAAATACGAGCTATAATTTTGCGGATAGAACCCTAAAACGGATAAAGAACACCACGAAATGTTTGTGATCTGTTGATAACACACGCAACAACTCAGCTTATGAGTCAAGTAGACATTGAGCAGTCATTAAGGAGTTTATCAAAGTTAGAAATAGTTGGACCGATTCACCTTCAAAATTGGATTGACAAGGAATTGTTACGTTACTAAGAATGTCCATTTTTTCTAGTGCTAGATAAGCAAATAAGAATTTATCACTTAAACGAAAGAGGATAAAACAATACAACAACCTAGTTCGTATTAAAAGTTGTGTCACTTTGCAAGCATTGTAAGAAAATCTTGCTTAAAGCCTCGACTACTAACCACTAGTAATCTCATAGTGATAGTAATTAAACAGTTAATCGTCGATTGCCAAAATAAATCGATTTACAAAATTTTTTCGTGATATGAACAAGGCAATAAATCGCCTAAAAACTCTACTTTATCCTGGTGGAAAATTGATAAAATACTAATTTTGCAATTTCAATAACCAACGTTGTGCTTTTTTAAGTGCGACAACAAAAGCCTATGAAAAATTGATAAAATACTAAAACCGGACAATATTTCATAATTTGCCAACCACGATTTAACCATTTGGCAGTTTCTAGAAGAAGGGCTTTCACATTTCTCATATACTGGACTACGAGACAAATCATATCATTGTGTGATCTTTAGTGTGATCCTAATCGATACTTTCTCACTTCTTCAATAAGATTCTTAAATCCAACTAAGTCATCCGGCCATGGCAGTAACCGGTGTGTAGTTGTGTGTAATTACTTTCTCCAAAGCGTATCGGTTTTCCGATCTTCCACCTATATGAACTTTAAAACGGACATTTATTTACCAATTTGTTTGATATGCCTTGGATCATATTTAGATCAAAATGCAAAATTTAGCAAATGACCTCTGACAAGTTTTACAGTCTTGAACAACTATCAAATTTTGAAAGTTTTATCGTGTATTGTCCTATAATTTATATATTTTTTACAGACTGTCTTGAAGAAGTAAAAGGAACATATTTTTGTATAATCAAAAAGCAAGTAGATGTAATTCTAAATTCTAAATTGTTGCGTTTGAGCTTTCATATGATTTGAAATGAGTTTATTTTGTATTTTAACCCTTTTTGTATTTTTTTACATATTCTTTTGCGTTTTTGCTATGGTTTTCTATATTCAATTGAAAACAATTGAAATTAAAAACTGACGCACTAACCATATTGAAATTTAAAAAAATATATGTATATACATACATTTTGTATAATTAATTGGATATTATCATGAATGGCAATGGAATAAACAT